ATGACCGGTATACGAACTTGCACTACTTTTTACATTTATATTGTAAAAAGAAACCGTCTAACGCAAGGCGAATATATTATGTCCATATATAGTCATATGTGTAGAAATTTCTGAGAAAAAACGAATTTTTCAGAAAGATAAAAATAGATTAATTTGAGTACTTAGATCGAACATCTTCGATAGGAATCAGATTGTCAGTCGGGGGAGACTCACCCCGCGATCTGGGCTCCGATCCCGTTACAATTCGTAACGAGAAAGGGAGACCAATTAGAGAACGGGGGCAGATCGACATCGCCCTATCGGAATGTTCGATCTGGGACTCAGAAAAACTTATAAAAATCGCGCATAAATAGGATGTGACGTTTTTGTTGCATGGATACGTAGGGATTCTTCTCCTGGACGTGCGTGCTCCCGATCTTTGAAAAAAAAACAAAGAACATTTTGGAACATCGTGGAAGCATCGTTTTCTGGGTGCCTCCTAGCNTCCGGATGACCGGTATACGAACTTGCACTACTTTTTACATTTATATTGTAAAAAGAAACCGTCTAACGCAAGGCGAATATATTATGTCCATATATAAGTCATATGTGTAGAAATTTCTGAGAAAAAACGAATTTTTCAGAAAGAAAAAAATAGATTAATTTGAGTACTTAGATCGAACATCTTCGATAGGAATCAGATTGTCAGTCGGGGGAGATCGACATCGCCCTATCGGAATGTTCGATCTGGGACTCAGAAAAACTTATAAAAATCGCGCAAAAATAGGATGTGACGTTTTTGGTGCATGGATACGTAGGGATTCTTCTCCTGGACGTGCGTGCTCCCGATCTTTGAAAAAAAAACAAAGAACATTTTGGAACATCGTGGAAGCATCGTTTTCTGGGTGCCTCCTAGCGATCTACAGATTCGTCAGTTCGCCCAACGAGAAGCCGCCGAAAGCCGTGATCAACGCCCCGGGGCCTACGGAATATTTCACCGGCAGCGTCCATCCACAAGTAACGAAAACCGAATTTTTCGAACTTTATTTCGGACTTTACCCGCGCGCTTTGTGGTGCTACTTCGTCCATCAAGGAATTTGTAAG